CATGCAGTGAACTACCTTATCGCTGTTAAAGGTATGTAGTGGCAAGGTATGATGGCTCATATCTGTAATCCCAGCACTTTGGGAGGCTAAGGCAGGAGGATTGCCTAAGCCCAGGAGGATTTTATTACAGCCTGGGCAACATAGTGGGACCCTGTCTCTATAATTAAAAAAGATGTACAGTAGTTCAAACTGTTCACCCATCACTATTTCCTCAGTGTAAGTTCCTAAAATTGGTATTACAAGCCATATGTATATATATGTATGTATGTATATATATATAGTTTTTTGTTTTTGGGTTTTTTTTTTAAAGGCAAAGTCTTGCTCTGTCGCCAGGCTGGAGTGCGGTGGCGCTATCTTGACTCACTGCAACCTCTGCCTCCCGGGTTCAAGCGATTCTCCTGCCTCAGCCTCCCAAGTAGCTGGGACTACAGGTGCACACCACCATGCCCAGCAAATTTTTTTTTTTTTTTGTGAGATGGACTCTCACTCTGTCTCCCAGGCTGGAGTGCAGTGGTATGATCTCGGCTCCCTGCAACCTCCGCCTCCTGAGTTTAAGCAATTCTTCTGTCTCAGCCTCCCGAGTAGCTGGGATTACATGCGTCCGCCAACACGTCCAGCTAATTTTTTTTTGTATTTTTAATAGAGATGGGGTTTCAGTATGTTCGCGAGGCTAGTCTTGAACTCCGGACCTCAAGTGATCCGCCTGCCTCAGCCTCCCTAAGTGCTGGGATTACAGGCATGAGCCACTGTGCCTGGCCCATGCTTCATGTCTTAAGTTTTCTCCGAGGACTGGCTTTGGTAAAAAGTGGCCACCCAGGAAGTTTGGTCTAGTACCACCAGCCAGTTACACATTCCCTAAAGAATCTGAATGGCCTAGTCCAGTCTAGCCTTTGGACTGATTCTCCTGAAACTCCCTCTAGACTGTGCTGTGATCAAGGAATCTAGGCTTATATCAAATAAACAGCTACAGAGCCTCACTCTCACAGCGATGTGGGGGCCTACTACATTAGTTGGGCAGGCCTTCTGAAAGGTGACTGTTGTAAATGCTTAAGTAGTAGCTGGGGCAAGATTATAGAGTCAAATAAGATAAATTCTCTGCACTTAGAATTGGGAGAGAGTTAATAGCTTTATGAGGAAGACAAATAAGTAGTATTTTAAATCAGTGTGATATGGTCTAAGTGTTGTGGGTAGAGGAATATCTTGGGACCCTACAAGAGAGACACTTAATCAGCCTGGACATTTAGAGAATATTCCACGAGGACGTGTCTGAACTGAATCATGAAAGATAAGTACACACTGGCCAGGTAAAAGAGTAGGAGAGGCTGGGAGCGGTGGCTCACGCCTGTAATGCCAGCACTTTGGGAGGCTGAGGCAGGTGGATCACAAGGTCAGGAGTTCGAGATCAGCCTGGCCAATATGGTGAAACCCCGTGTTTAGTAAAAATACAAAAATTAGCTGGGCGTGGTGGTGCATGCCTGTAGTCCCAGCTGCTTGGAGGACTGAGGCAGGAGAATTGCTTGAACCCAGGAGGCAGAGGTCACAGTGAGCCAAGATCACGCCACTGTACTCCAGCCTGGGCGACAGAGCAAGACTTGGTCTCAAAGGAAAAAAAACAGAAAAGAGTAGGAGAAGCATTTCTGGCATTGTGAACAGCATGAGCATGGAACAAAATAATTATATTTCGCTGAAGAATTTTTCATGTATGATATTTATAACCAATTATTTCTAGAGTTTGAAGTGTATGGCAAGACGTGAAGATAGTAGGGCTGGACTGAGGAGACTCTTGGTTTTGTTTTGTTTTTTTGAAACAGGGTCTTGCTCTGTCACCCAGGTGGGAGTGCAGTGGCACCATCACGGCTCACTGCAGCCTTGACCTTCTGGGCTTAAAGTAATCCTCCCATCTTATTTTTTGATTTTTTGTAGAGACAAGTTCTCACTGTGCCGCCTGAGCTCGTCATAAACTCCTGGGCTAAAGTAATCCTTCTTCCTTGGCCTTCCAAAGTCTGGCCATGAGGAGAGTCTTAATGCCATGCTAAGTATCTCAGATTTAGGTGACAGGGAGTCATAGGATGTTTTTTAGTTGGGGACTGGCATGGGAAGATTTCCATTTTTAGGAAGATGAATCTGCTTATAATAGATTAAATTTGATAGCGGTGTTGCCTGAAGGCACAAAGACTAATTGTGGTTGTCCAAGGAGAAGTGATAAGTGAGGAAGCAGAGGAAGGAGCCAGCTGTAAGAATATTTAGGAGGTAGGTTTGGCAGGACTAGGATAATGGAAATGAGGGAAGAGGAGTAATCTAGGATAAAATCCACACTTGAGTGACAGGGTAGATAGTGGTGGCGTTAGGAAAGTGAGCAATTTGAGGAGCAAGGTGACTGGTTTTGGGCATATTGAGTTTCACATGCTTGTGGGATCTGCTGCTCTCAGGTAGTTGCCATTTTGGGAGTGGTTTGTCTCCTTCTTCCCCCTGCTCCCACTCAGTCTTTGTCTGACACTCTTCTAGTTACTCCTCTCTCTTTCTCTCTGTCTCTAATAAATATATATAATATATATTTAAATATGTAATGTGCATATTATATATAATTTAAATATTTATGTATCCAGTGTAATGCCCCCTCCCAAGGTGTTGGACATGTTGCTAGAGCCCTACAGTGTCACCCTCTTAGTCCACCAGCTCACAGAAAACACAGATGAGACCTTTTGCATTGATAAGGAAGCTGTCTAAGACATCTGTTTCCGAACCCTAAAACTGCCCACACCCACCTGAGCCACCTGTTGTCTGCACTGTGAGTGGGGTCACCACCTGCCTGAGCTTCCAGGGCGAGCTCAATGGCCATGAATATGGCCCTGCTCCCCGCTTGCACTTATTCATGTCTGGCTTCGCCCTGCCGACCATCCAGGATAGCCAGCAGTACTGAGCCCCAATGGTGCCCGAGCCGATCCAGCGGATGTTTGATGCCAAGAATGTGATGGCTGCCTGGGACCCCCGCTTTGTGGCTGTTGCTTAGCAGCTGCTATGTTCAGGGACCATACGTGCATGGAAGAGGTGGTTAAGTAAATGCTTAATCTCCAAAACAAGGACAGCAGCTACTTTGTTGATTGAATCCCCCACAAGGCGAAAACAGCTGTCTGTAACATTCTACCCTGGGGGCTAAAGATGGCTGCCACTGTCATTGGCAACAATACAGCCATCTAGGAGCTGTTCAGGTGCATCTCGGAACAGTTCATAGTCATGTTCTGGCACAAAACCTTCCTGCACTAGTACATGGGCAGTGGCATGGACAAGATGGAGTTCCCTGAGGCTGCAAGCAACATGAACGTGTCCAAGTACAGGATACCACAGCTGAGGAGGAGAGAGAGTCTGAAGAGTGGGCCTGTGAGGAGGTGGCCTAGAGCCTTCTGTTACTGGGTAAAGGGAAGAAGTGGTGTGAACTTTTTATTCACCCACAGTCTGTTCTGTGATAGCCATGTCTGTGTGTGCACTTGTTCTTCATGTCTTGATATCACAGCTCTAAAGACACTTCAATGAAACCATTTTCCTAGTAAAAAAAAAAAAAAAGTATATAAAAATATATACATAAAATACATATATGTATTTGTTTGTTTGAGACAGGGTCTTGCTGTTTTGCCCAGGCTGGGCTCAATTTGTGATCCTTATGCCTCAACCTCCTGAGTAGCTAAGTAGTTGGGACTACAGGCACTTGCCACCTTGTCCACTTCATTCATATGTGTGTGTGTGTGTGTGTGTGTGTGTGTGTGTGTGTATGTGTGTGTGTGTTTGTTTTTGTTTTTTTGTTGAGACCGAGTCTCACTCTGTTGCCTAGGCTGGAGTGCAGTGGCTCGATCCTCGCTCACTGCAGCCTCCGCCTCCTGGGTTCAAGTGATTCTTCTGCCTCAGCCTTCCGAGTAGCTGGGATTACAGGCATGTGCCACCGTGCCCAGTTAATTTTGTATTTTTAGTAGGATTTTCACCATATTAGCCAGGCTGATCTCAAACTCTCAACCTCTGGTGATCCGCCCGCCTCGGCCTCCTAAAGTGCTGGCATTACAGGCGTGAGCCACCGCGCCCGGCCCTTTTTATATTTTAAACTTAAGACTCACCTAGTTTCTGCTTTCATAGATCTTCTGTGCAAGCAGCAGGTTTATTTATGTAAAGGTTTGACATGTTTGGCTTCACCATGAGAATTGCTGATAGGATTTTATTTCAGCCTCTTAGGCTATAAGGTATATATATTAGGGCAGATATTATTTCTCTCATTCATAACTGTGTTCATAACACTTAGAACAGTACTGGCAAAGAAGTGAGTGTCTGAAGGAATGAACTGTTGAATCATGTGAAGAGTTTGACTCTTATAAGGGCTGTCCTTTCTCTAAGACTGATTTTTCCATAAAGCATGTGTCTAAGTTGAATCTTAGAGGGTAAAGAGGTGGAAGAGAGCCTTTCAGGCAGAGGTAGTAGCAAGAGCAAAGGCAGGGAGGAATAGAACTGAATGGGATGTGTGTGTATAGAGAACAGCCATGAGATATTAATAATTCTTCCGTGTCGTATGTCTCAGGTCATTCCAGAAAACTTAGTAATATTAATAGGTATATTAGTAACCATGATGTGTTCTGGGAATTGTGTTTTGTTTAAAAGTTTGTGTGCATGGTTAGGTGAGGATTCAATGTGTAAAATATTTCCAAACCGACAGAAACCTGTTGGTCTTGCTCTAATACAAGGCCTCTTGGAAACCTCTGAATCCCAGGCAGAATTTACTACTTCCTAATCTGTGTTCATGTAGCATATTATTCCTATCTCTAATACTGTGTTATATTGACTTATTTCATGTTTCATTTCATTAGTAGTCCTGACCATGCCTTTAATAATTCCTAGGGTCTAACATGTAGTAGATGTTAGTTAAATGTTGATGAACAGTTGAACAAAAGGATGTTTATACCCTGTATTGGCCATGTTAAATCGGAACTATGTTCAGCTTCTGTATCTTTTTCTTCTTGTAGCTATTTGTAGTAGATGTCCAGACAAGCCAGATCACCAAGATCCCAATTCTGAAAGACCGGGAACCTGGAGGTGTGACCCAGCAGGGCTGTGGTATCCATGCCATCGAGCTGAATCCTTCTAGAACACTGCTAGCCACTGGAGGAGACAACCCCAACAGTCTTGCCATCTATCGACTACCTACACTGGATCCTGTGTGTGTAGGAGATGTAAGTTTTCCCAGTAGTTGTAGTTGGGGGGAGCCTTGGTTTTAAACGGGTCTCAGTGGTTAACATGGACCCTCCTCTCAGCAGCCCAGAGTGGGAACTGGACTCCCCATAGGGCACAGTGTATGTTTGATAAAGGGGCAAGCAGCACATCTCAGGGACCAACACTATTGGGTTGCATTTGAATCCATAGTGTCCACATACTTCCCACTGCCCATACTCAGAGAGTAGCAGAGTTTACTAAATCATCCATTCATTCGCCAGGCATTTATTCAGTCTTCTATGGCTAGGTATTGTTTGAGACATGGTTTGAGACACAGCAGTGAACAGAACAGATAAAGCCCCTGTCCTCTTGAAGCCTACATTCTAGTGGAGGGTGACATATAAACCAAAATATAAGCCATATAAACTAATAATTACCAGTAATATGTCAGAGTGTGATAAGTGCCATGGAGAAGAATAAAGGCAGCATAAAGGGACTGAGAGTGAGGTGGAGGATGCTGTATCAGAAGATAAAGTTTCATTGATAGGATGATACTGGAGCAGGGAGACTTAAAAGAAATGAGGTACAAGCCATGTAGATATCTAGATGTCTGGAAGAAGAAAGTTCCAGATAGAAGATGGGACCCAGAGGTAGAAGGCAAGAGCTATGTGTCCACTACCCACAGTAGTGCCAATTTCATTCCAGCTTTGAGCTCCTCAAGATAGAAGATAAAGATTGATCATTCTCTATGGGTTGAGACCACCAGAGATCAGAGTTGTAATTTTACAAAAATAGAGAGTTTATTACAATACTTATTTTACTAATTTCTTGTTTTCCTCCCTGTACCTGTTACTCCCTGCTCTCCAAGGATGGACACAAGGACTGGATCTTTTCCATCGCATGGATCAGCGACACTATGGCAGTGTCGGGTAAATTTGCCCTTTTACAGGGAGCTTTTGATGTGGCAAGGATTGGGGGCTAGAGATTGAAAAGGGATAGTAGTGTGATAGGAAATAGCCCGGCTGGGTGCGGCGACTCATGCCTATAATCCCAGGACTTTGGGAGGCTGAGGTGGGTGGATCACTTGAGCCCAAGATTCAAGACTGGTCTGGGCAACATATGAGACCCCATCTCTACAATTTTTTTTAATTGGCTGAGTATGGTACTGCATACCTATTGTCCCAGATACTCAGAAGGTTGAGGCAGGAGGATTGCTTGAGCCCACGAGATCCAGGCAGCATCAGGCTGTGATCATGCCAGTGCACTCCAGCCTACATGACAGAGGGTGGCCCTATAGAATAATAATTTTTTTATTTAGTGTAAAAGTGATACACATTTATTGTAAGAAAATTTTAAAATAGGCTGGGTGCAGTGGCTTATGCCTGTAATCCCAGCACTTTTGGAGGCCGAGGTGGGTGGATCACAAAGTCAGGAGATTGAGACCATGCTGGCTAACACGGTGAAACCCGGTCTCTACTAAAAATACAAAAAATGAGCTGGGTGTGGTGGCGGGCGCCTGTAGTCCCAGCTACATGGGGGGCTCAGGCAGGAGAATGGTGTGAACCTGGGAGGCGGAGCTTGCAGTGAGCTGAGATTGTGCCACTGTACTCCAGCCTGGGCACAGAGCAAGACTGTGTCTCAAAAAAAAAAAAGAAAATTTTAAAATATAGTCTGGGCGTGTTGGCTCACACCTGTAATCCCAGCACTTTGGGAGGCCAGGGTGGGTAGATTACAAGGTCAGGAGTTTGAGACCAGGCTAGCCAGCATGGTGAAACCCTGTCTCTACTAAAAGTGCAAAAAATTAGCTGAGTGTGGTCATGGGCGCTTGTAGTCCCAGCTACTCAGGAGACTGAGGCAGGAGAATTGCTTGAACCCAGCAGGCAGAGGTTGCAGTGAGCTGAGATGGTGCCACTGCACTCCAACCTGAGCGACAGCATGAGACTCCATCTCAAAAAGAAAAAAAAAAAAAAGGATAGATAGATAGATAGATTAAAAAAAAGGAAGTAAGGACCACCCAGAAGATCTCTATCCAGATATACCTACTTTTTTTTTGTGGGTTGTTTTGTTTTCTTTTTGAGACAGTGTCTCATTTTGTCACCCAGGCTTGCTTACAGTGGCATGATCCTAGCTTACTGCATCCTTGAGCTCTTGGGTTCAAGTGATCCTTCTGCCTCAGGCTCACAGGTAGCTGGGACTATAGGCACACACCATCACACCCAGCTAGTAATAACTACTGTTGACATTTTAAAATATAACTTGCTAGTCTTTTTTTCCAGTACCTTTTTTCTTTTCTTTTAGACACAGGGTCTTGCTCTGTTGCCCAGGCTGGAGTGCAGTGGCACCATCATGGCTTACTGTAGCCTTCAACTCCTGGGCACAAGCTATCCTCCTGCCTCAGCCTCCCAAAGTGCTTAGATTTTTTTTTTTTTTTTTT